CACTTTTGTTTTTCCTCTGGAGAGTTTCATGGCAAATTCAAGGTTTCACGTCCCTAAACTTGTAAATGCTCTAGTATGCGTCTCCAACTGGTAAGGTCATTTAAAAAACTTGTAAGCAGCAGATCATTTTCAAATGTATCAAAATTAATGATAATTCTTTTATTTCATCCAATACCCAGTCCATATTCAGTTTTTTTCTGATCATCTCAAAGTTGTCTTTTAACATTGGAGTGTTTGAATCATGATCCAAATAACATGCTCTCATTGCGTTTGCTGCTTACATCTCTCAGGTCTCTTTTATTCTGTAGCAATCTCTCTTCCCTTTTTTCTTTTGTCCTCATGCTTCTTAACCTATTGCAATAAGAAGTATACAGCACCATAAATGAAAGATTCTTGCCTAAATAGTTAGATATTGAAAGTAATCACACCTCTAAGTTCAACTACCCAGTTTATAGGAAAAATTGAGAGTAGGGGAGGTGAGGAAGAACAAGATAAACTATAACATGATGAAGCAATCAGCCAAATCTGGAAGGTAGTACATCTATGGGACGAATGGCTTATTCCCTTCCGTCCTCCCTACATTCCTTCCAAAAGCATATATTGTATTGATTTATAATGACTTGGCAACATCTTTAATTTTATTTCAAGTGGAGATGTTTTAAAAAATTTTTTATTGATGTCATAATAGTTTATAACGTTGTGAGATTCCAGTTGTACATTATTGTTTGTCAGTCACCACATAAATGCACTCTTTCACCCCTTGTGCCCACCCCCCAACCCCCCTCCCCCTGGTAACCACTAAACTGTTCCCTCTGTCCGTGTGTTAGTTTATATTCCACATATGAGTGAGATCATTCAGTGCTTGTCTTTCTCTGTCTGGCTTATTTCACTTAACATAATACCCTCCAGGTCCATCCATGTTGTTGCAAATGAGATGATTTTGTCATTTTTTATGGCTGAGTAGTATTCCGTTGCACATATATACTGCATCTTTTTTATCCAGTCATCTGTCAATGGACACTTGGGTTGCGTCCATGTCTTGGCTATAGTGAATAATGCTGCAATGAACATAGGGATGCATAAGCCTCTTTGGATTGTTGATTTCAGGTTCTTTGGATAAATACCTGGAAGTGGGATAGCTGGATCATAAGGTATTTCTATTTTTAATTTTTTGAGGACTCTCCATACTGTTTTTCATAGAGGCTAGACCAGTTTGCATTCCCATCAGCAGTGAATGAGGGTTCCCTTTCAAGTGGAGATATTTTTGTGCTTAAAATTTTTAAATTGTTAAAATGTTTAATTTTAATTTAAAAGATCTTGTTCTTATTGAAAAAAAAGATATAAAATTCACCTTCCTGATCTATTGGACCAGCCATAATAATTATTAACATTGTTATATTTTCTTTTGTAAGTGTGTGTACGCACACACACACAGATATAGATTGTATTGCTTTACTTTTGCAGAAATACAGGATCATACTACACATAAGAGTAGAAATGTGCTTTATTCATTGAGCTGTATTTTATGGACATTTTTTATTTCAGTAAGTATATTAAAATATTAAATTATTATGGAGTATTCCATTAGATGGATTATAGTTATTCATTCAATTAATCTTCTAGTAGTGGACCTAAACATATGTTTAGTGTACCTTACATATGTTTTTGCTCACTTTCCCACTATTTTCTTTGCATAAATTACCCCAAACAGAACATTGAGTCAGAAGTGATGCTTATTTTGAGAATTTTCAGTACATAATTGAGAATATCCCCTAGTAATGTTCTATCACTTACTACTGACCGACAGTATTTATGTAAAGGAGTGTTATTTTTCATGTGTCATTGTCACGTCAGTTTCAACCACTGACTAAACTCTTAGTTTTTATGATTGTCCATTTCTATTACTTGGGTTTTCTAGGTCTACAGTAATATTGTGCAAACGTTGGTGATTTACCTCCTTTTCTCTAAGATTGAAAATTGCTATTTGATTCTTTTCTCTAATTGCATTTGGAGACGTGGTCAGACCAGTGACAAATGAGAATGGTGATTCTTGCACCCTTTCCATGCTGCGTGTGAGTGCTTACAGAGGGTCACTGGCTTTCAACTAAGCATATAAAGTGTTTCATTTTTGCTTCGTTTTTGTTTTGCTTTACCTCTTTTTCCTTTTTTCATCTTTTCTTTTGGAAAGAAAATGTTACATATACAAATGAAGTGCCCCCTCCAAGTCCCTACCCCATTCCTTCCTCTTCCTCCCTAGATGTAACCACTAACTTGAAATTTTACCTTATGATCATTTTTGGACTTTTAAGTGTGTTTGTATCTACAAGCAAATATATAGTATTCTTGGGTGCATTTTAAAAATTTATTAAAATAGTGTTATACTTTATGTATCCTTTTATAGGATTTCGTTTTGTTGTTGTTGTTTTTATCCATGAGCTGTTGTTTTTCTCACAACACTACTGACACCAAATAGGTGGGAGTTTTTCCCCACGCCAAGCAATTCTCCAACTCCCTGGACACCAGTTGGGTGTGCTACAATTCAACTCAGCTCTGATACTAACTACGAGAAGTCAGCAGAGACCCCACAGGTTAAGTGCTCAGGCTCATAAGACTGCTCCCACTTCAGATGCAAGTTGCAAGTCTCAGGTTGTCACTTTTACTTCTGACCAGTTGGCTATAAATCAGAGGTTTCCCACCCTCCTTCTCAGGTTCAGTTATTTGCTAGAACAGCTTATAGAACTCAGGAAGATACTTTACTTACTATGACCAGTTTATTATAAAGGATACAAATGAACAGCCAGATGAAGAGGTACATAGGGCAAGGTCCAGAAGGGTCCTGAGCATAGGAGCTTCTGTCCCCATGGAGTTGGGGTGCACCATCCTCCCAGCACCTCAAAGTGTTCGTCAGCTCTCCAAACCCTGTGGTTTTGGAATTTTTATGGAGGGTCCGTTACATAGGCATGGTTGGTTAAATCATTGGCTGTTGGTGATTAACCTCAATCTCCAGCCCTTCTCTCCTCCTTGGGGGTCCAAGGATGGAGCTGAAAGTTCCAACCCTTTAATCATGCCTTGGTCTTTCTGGGGACCAGCCCCCATCCTGAAGCTATCTGAGGCCCCCTAGCCACCAGTAATATTATTAGCATATAAAAGATACTCTTGTCACTTGAGAGATTACAAGGGTTTTCTGAGCTTTGTGCCAGGAACCTGGGACAAAGACCAAATATCTATTTCCCCTTGTGCCACAGTGAGTCTAAAAAAGTAGCCCCTCCATTCCTAGGCTATTATGGGTTTGTAACAAAAGCAATACTGATTTTTACAAGCTGTTTTTTCAATATCAATTTAGGCTTTTCTCCTCTAACCTATTAAAATTAATTAATAAAATTAATTGGCTACTCTTGGCTACCAAACTAACATCTATCCTCCTTTTGTTAAGAAAATCCCTATTTTATTTAGGTAGCCATCCATCTGGGAACTTGACCTTAACCTCAGTTCAGTAGGAAAATGCAGATTAGCTTTACGAATCAGGGTAGTTCCATTGCCATTCTTGGTTTCATTACTGTGTTCCAGGCATGAGCATTTGGTGCAGCTCTGATCTGTTAGGTGTGAGGGAAAGTCTGCCGGGGAGCTCCTGGGAAATGGTTGGGCCCTTGATCCTCCGACCCTAGAGATCTCAGATCTAACTCATTCACACATAAGCACCTTTTCTACCTCTCTCCTGTCCATAAGGAGTTCTATATTTGAGCTGTGTGCCATCCTTTTTGGGCTGGCCCTGCAAGGAGACTAGACTGATGGGCCAAGACTGGGACAAAGCAGTGTCAGGATTAGAGATGGTGGTGGGATGCTATGTTTACCAGTTGGTCAGAGAATGGGTCAGAGATGAGCTAAGTGTTGAGGATACTGGGGAGCTAGAGAGAGAGTCTTTGAGAATAATTTGCTGCCTGAAAGGATAAAAGCAAAATTCAAGTTGACCTCTTGGTATTGGTGTCCTCAGAGTGTGACCTTCTAGCGTGGCTCCACAGCTTGGCTCTTGGAGAGGCTGATCTCTGATCTGCTGTTTCTGAGGCAAGGATGGGGCTACCTTTGCATTCCTGCTTGTGTGAAACGAGCTGGCTGGGTGTGCACAGTGAATATTACAAGAGCCAATTCCAAGGGCCCTATTTTTGCAACTGACTGTATAGCCACCTCACAGTATGATGCACCAGGAAGTAAAGTTCTTAAAGTGCATGAGAAAGAGAACAAATTTATATTGTGAGGCTGATGGGAGAGAGAAATATCATAATGGAGAGAGCAGATGAGGATTCAGATTCCTACCTTGCTCTTTAGGAAGGTTTTTAACCTGGGCAACACACTTCACCTGACCAAGCCTCAGCTTACTCGTGTTTAAATGGAGGTAATAATGAGTACCCTACAGAGTAGTGTTGAGGATTACATAAGACGCTGCTTATGATTTCTTAAGTATATTAGTATTCAAACTGGAATAATTACCTCAGTGCAATAAACAAAAAATTTAGGCATATGTGGGCACAGGTGGTTTGAAGTCAGTTTCCAGAACCATTACTTCTGTATGTTGTCTTCCCTAAACTTGATCCTTGTGAGAACTTGGCAGTGGACAAGACCATGAACTGGTTTTTGTTTCCCATCTCCTCTTTCATATCCACTCTGTTTTAACTTTGCCAAAAAACAGGCATTCCTCTTGCCCATTCCATATCTTACTATGGAGCATGGCCCCAAGATGTAAAAGCTTCCAGGGTGTTAAAGAGATGGATGAAATGTTGGAGCCTTCTGTTAGAGTAAGTCCACATGGTAAGAGAGAGCTGAGGTCCCAGGTGCGTGTCCTCTTATAATTGAATTTGCTCTTGAATTCACAGGTTCTAGTCTACAGGAACAAGACGTTTTCAGTAATACAGGAAGAAGGAGGTTCCAGGCTTGGGAGATCATCATTTCTGGCAACAGCCTGACCTGAGATATCCGACCACAACTTCTGGGCAGGCCCAGAGTAGACAGAAGACAGAGCACACCGTAGAGTTGCTAGCTTGCTCTTAAGAACAGGAGAGATGACCAAGGCCCAGGTGAGGTTTGTTTTACCTGTTACATCCTTTATTTCCCAAGGGATTTGTGGAAGCTTCTAAAAGACAGTCAGATGAAATGAGACAGTATGTGTTGATAAAAATCAGGACCTGTCAGAAAATAAGTTTAGGTTATAATCTTAAAATTAGGGCGAATTAGGAAGCAAGATATGTAGGTCATAGGGTTCATGCAAAGTTCTTAACGTTGAAACCTAGATAAGTGACCGTGTAAGACCCTGTGGGTTGCCTTAGCTTTGAACTTGTGTCTACTTTTCTTGGCATCCGTAATAACAAGAAAAACGTGAAAAGTTACATGATTTGTAATGTCTGTGAGAAGGCAAACCAGTTCTTCAGAGGAAGTAAACATTTCGTTGCTGTTAGGTCTTAAGAAATTTCTTTTGTTAGCTCTTCAGAGAGGTTTTTTTGGTAGACAGTGTCCTCAATATCAGTCATGTAATAAAGGCATAGGATGTTTCCTTTGGCTCTTTCTTCTTGTGTTCCTCCAAGTAAGCTAAGGAGGTAAGGCCAGAACAGAATTTGATTGGACAAAATTGTTCAAAAGCAGCACACCTCAACAATAGAGCCTTCTGGTGGTCCGACTTTACCCAGGAATAGAGCCTGGATTATCCAATAGAATGAGTGGGCCGCTTGACCTTTGAGTGATCCTCCAGGAAGAATTCTCTCCACCAGATGTTTTTACTGATTTGGGAGGAGACAGCTGAAAGTTCCATTCTTTGATAACAGCTTGAAGTACAGGTATTGACAATGCTCCTTTTATACTTCTTAACCTCAGGTTCAAAAAATGAAGTCAGAGCCAATTATTCTTGTTTTGGTCTTCATATTTTTAACTATGCGAATGATACCTGGCTACATTTGCATGCAAGAGATTCAAGCTAACGGAAGTATTTGTGCCAAAAGAGAGTATTCCCTTTCACCTTTTTCCTTCCCAACCCCCAACCCAAAGGATAACAAATGTTAATAATTTGGATCTCCATCCAGTCCCTTTCTATAATTGACATGTGGTAGAATATGTCTATGTTTATATACATTTCTATGTACATATGTATGTGTACTTATACATATATAATTTTGTATGTTAAGATTTTTTTCCATGTCTGGGATCATATTATATATACTCTTTGGGGGCCTGATGTCTCTCATTTAAGAGAATGCCTTGAAGATCATTGCTATCAGTATTTTTACATCTTCCTCATTGATTTTAATGTTTGTGTAGCATTTTGTCATGCTGTAATCTAACCCTGTCTGCTTTTGATGGACATTTAGATTACTAATAGATTTTCACTATTACAAACAAAGAAATAATAAATATTCTTACTGCACATTGTTTTATATCTATACAAATATTATTTTAGTACATCTTTAAGCTAGGAAAATTAATTATAGAATTAATTCTATAGAATTCCACAGTGTAGCATTCCACAGTGCTGTGGTCTGAATGTTGTGTGCCCCCAAAATTCATATGTTGAAATCTTAACCCTCAAAGATGATGGTTTTAGGAGGTGTGGGGCCTTTGGGAGGTACATGGGTCATGAGGCTGAGGCCTTCATGAATGGGGCTAGTGTTCTTATAAAAGAGAATCCACAGAGATCCCTTACCCTTCCACCCTGTGAGGACACAGTGAGAAGGTGTTATGAACCCTCTATGAGCCAGGAAGTGGGTCCTCACCAGAATGCGTCCATACTGTCACCTTAATCTTGGACTTCCCAGCCTCCACAACTGTGAGAAATAAATTTCTGTTTATATAAGGTACGTGGTCTGTGTTTTTTGTTACAGTAACCTGAGTGCACTAAGGCGCATGGTCCTATGGTGCGTGAAATAGTCACAGTGTGCATAGTTTATCACGGGGAAAATGAGAGAACATGTTCCTGTCCCTCTTTTCCACATCATCTATTCCACCTCAGATTGCACTGGGATTTGTTATTACAGGAATCATTATCATTTGAGGATGTGGCTGTGGGCTTCACCTGGGAGGAGTGGCAGCTCCTGGATCCGTCTCAGAAGGACCTGTACAGGGATGTAATGTTGGAGAACTACAGCAACCTGCTGTCAGTAGGTAAGGACAGCATCACGGTCAGCTGCCTTTTCTTTCTCATTCAGTGAAATCTGTAAGGTTCCTGAAATATTTCATGGTTTGGACTAAAGCATTGTAGGTGGTAGACTTTTATTCTCCTCTTTGGTCCTAGAATGTATGCTCTGCTTTCCCGAGTAAAAGGCTTTTACTTTACCAAAGTACAAATGATGTGGTCCCTGAAATATAACTTTACCCAGTTTTCATAGATTCCCCAAGCTTAACGACTTGGTGCTAAGTGTTCAGTGATTTCCCATTTACAGGATATCAAGCTACCAAACCACATTCACTCTTCCATTTGGAGCAAGGAGAACCACCATGGATAGTAGAGGGAGCAGCCCATAGTCAAACCTGTCCAGGTGAGTGAGAGAAAACCAAGAAAATGGGGAGAGATGACACTAAAATTCCAATTGATCAGTGAAGGGTTGACACTGTTGAAATGTTTAGAGAACTTTTCTTAATCCCAGTTGGTAACCCAGAAACCTAACACCTTTCTACATCTCTGTTCTTTATTACAGCTGTTCTTCTTTGCCTGCTATTTAAAGGATGACGTTTTCCTTTGTTGAAATTTCTAGATCTGATTAAAGTCTTTCTCATCTGGGACCTTGATCTCTTAACCTGGTTCCATTCTTCCCAGCATGCTCCTGTCTTCTCTGTTTCTTTGTAACAGTCTCACTTCCTGTTCTCCACCTTACTTGCTATGAAGGTCCTCTCACTACCCACACAGATCACTTTGCACTGCTCTCTACTGCTGCAGTATCCCTGCCCCTTTTCAAAGGGCTGATAGCCCTCCCTGACAATCCACTTCGCCTAAATTCATCTAAGAACCACACACACCTCATCTCTCAGGGCACCTCTGTCTACTTATTCACCCTGTTTTTTTAATTCTGCTTGATTCTTGTATTAAAAGTTTAATTCATTCTCAAGGCCTAAGCTCTCTATTCTCTGCTGGAGAGCCCCAAATTGACTTAATCTGTACTCAAATCCCCCACATGTTGCCAGCCACCAGGGCAGCTGGCCTATGATGTCCTACTTCCTGGATGCAAAGCCAGTATCCTTTCTCCCAGTAATGTCTTCACCATCATAGAGTGTATCATATATACCGAAGATTTAAGCTCTGTACTCTGACAGATACTCCCAAGTTGACTTGCTATAGTCTAATCTGCCTCTAATTCTGTATTTTGCCTGGACCCAGGATAATTATCCTGTTAAATTCTTTCCTTCAGCTTCAGTGTCAGAACCTGAGATCATTTCTCCTCCTGGTGGATCCTTTTCCTCCTGGTGTATTTTCTTTAGGTTCTACTGTCCTGCTCTGTGCCATGGCGCCTGGATGCCTTTGAGTTGCCTTGAGTCTCCCCTATTTCATCTGCTCTATTATTTCTGAAGGTCTCTGCTGTTCCTGTTAACTTTCTTTGTTTCGAAAAGGCCTTTTGGAAATTCCACGCTCTCAATTCCCACCTCACAGTAGCCCATGATAATGTAGACTTGCACTGCCCCAATTGCTACATACATTGGCTGATTTCAGTGTTTCTCTTAGTTCCTTTGATGTTATGGCTGCATTCCTCTGTGGGTAGAGGGCATTAAAAGCAGTGGAATTTGATGAGAAAACATGAGGAGTGAGAGAGAGTTGGTTGGAAAAACAAGAGGTCCACGTATATAGAGGTTGAAAAGATAAGATCCAGCCAAGTAGAATGAGAAGTATTGGGGCTATGGGAGGAGGGGGGTCAGAAGAAGATGTCCCAAGAATGAGTGACAAACAAATATATATATATATATTTTTTTTTAGGGGAAGGTTTTCCCAGAGCTAATATCTGTTGCCAATCTTCATCCTTTTTTTTTCTTTGTCCCCCTAAGGTCCCAGTACATAGTTGTGTATAGTTGTAAGTTATTCTGGTTCTTCTGTGTGAGCCGCCACCATGGCATGGCTACTGACAGACAAGTGGTGCGGTTCTGTGCCCGGGAACCAAACCCGGGCCGCCAAAGCGGGGCACACCCGACTTTAACCACTAGGCCATCAGGGTTGGCTTGTGATATATTTTATTGAATGTCAATACCGATACTGCCTTCTTTAGCTCTGAGCTCTTTTTCTATCTCTGAAGTTCTGGTGCACACATGGAACTCCCTCTTTCCTGACTTCGTGTCTACTTTGTATCTACACCACACTAACTCGGTCATGATCGTATATTTTATCGTATTGTTTTACTAGTTGGTATGAGGCTTTTTTTTCCATGTAAATAAAACGGTCTGTATCTGATTCTTCCTTACTTAGTGTAGACTACATAATCGTTCACTGATAGCATCACTTGCATCCATTCATTACATCTTTCTTGAAATCAGATTTGGTTTTGTTTCGTTTTGTTTTTAATTTTGTTTTTTAATCAGAGATGTGTGTAAACCATGTGGGAACTTTTTCAAACTACAGGCTTTGTCTCTTGAGATTTGGCTTCCGATTTGCTAGATACAGGGAGTGACCTGAGCATATGAAGCTTGAAAGGCTTGCCAGGCAATTCTGCTTTGATTCCTGTAGTTGAAGAACCACCCCTCTAATATGCTCCAAGAGAGATTCAGATATAATGAAGGACAGAAATACCTTCCAAATATAAAAGTCCCAGTTGGAAAGGGTTGACATGAGTGCATAAAATTCTAAAATTTTTAGCATTTGATTTTGAAGCACAGACAGGGACTGTTTTCCAACATTAGAGAAAACTGAGCTTTGATAGTGTTACAGAGAGAATCAAGTGCTGTTTTGGGAAGCATGATAAAATAAGTTCTGCAAGAAAGATATCTGGGTTTTGAATAAAAATGATGATGGAAGGCCTTGTGCGTCAGTAATAATATAAAAAGAAGACTTCAGACATGGAAAGGAGGAAGATGATGTGGGACAGTCTTAATGGATTGGCCTCTAGGAGATTATGTGAAAGGAAATGGCTGATTACTCTAGATTTTATGTTAATTATTGGCTTAGAAAGTGCGAATTTGGTTTTATCTTTTTTTGCTAGTTCTGGAGAGTCTTGCTCGATAGCTGGATATTAGCTTTGTAATAATAGGAAGGCATCGCTTGGAGTTCTAGGATAAATGGAAGATATAGGACAGATGAATGTTTTGTTCCTGGATGGAGAATGATTCTTCAAGATCTCTTAATTGATGGGTGCCAGAGATGATGTAGGAACAGAGATTAAGGAAGACTGTGGCATTAGTTGAAAGAAGAAAATTTGGAGATGCCTGTATCAAGGAGATTATAATGGCAAATATAGGATATGATGGTCTATACCTGTGCTGTCCAGTGTGCTGGCCACTGGCCACATGTGGCTACTTAAATTTAAATTTAATTAACATTAACTAAAATTACAAATTCAGTTCTGCAGTTACTCTAGCCACATTCAAGTGCTCAATAGCCATACATGGCTAGTGGCTGCCATATTGGAAAACACAGATATAGAACATTTCCATCATTGCAGAAAGTTTTATTGGACTGTGCTGTACACAGTTACCATATGATTAAACTGGTTGGAGAAGGTGATATTTCCACAAATCAGTACAACTGTAGCTCTTCTCTGGGACGTGGGCAGATGGCCCAGGGACCTATTTTTAAATTCCAGATGGATATATATGCTTTTGGATGCATTGGACTGGGTGAGGTTGTATCATACCTACATAGAAAGTTGATGTATTGACTATAGACAGCGTTACTCTAAGTAGGTGATTAGTGTTGTAGGAAAGTTTAACTTTGGTGTGCAGTTGGAATGAGAGGTGAAAAATTTAGTAACAAGGTGATTATTGAATGTTTTACCATGGTAAAGTTGGAATGAGATGCTGTGGATCCTACATTCTGATTTCCCAATTCCAACCCTCTGTTACTCAAACCCATGGTGCTTATTTGTTTGATCAGCGTAGCTATGGTTTGTCTGTGGATGGGCCTGTCATACTCTCTCTGTGCCTATCCTTCTCCCAAAGTTCTAAAACTTGGAGCATATGAAGCTGTTGTCCTGGGCCTTCCTCTTTCTCTATCCGTTATTCCTAAATTATCTTACCTAGTCCCATGTAGTCCAAATATTTAAATAATGTTTATATACTCATGACTTAAAATTGTCATCTTAAGGCTAGACCTTTCTCCACACTCATAGATCTAACTGGGTACTTCATATTCTCTCTTGAATATGTATTAGTTATCTCAAACCTGATGTGTGTCTCAAAATGGAGCACCTGATCCTCCCACAATTGTCAAACCTGTCTCCCACACCTTCCTCATCTTCTTAAATGGCACCAGCACCTATGTGGTTGCTTAAACCACATATCGAGGAGCTATCCTTGATTCTTCCCTTTTCCACCTCCAACATTAGTTCTGACAGTGAGTCTTGTCTTTTCCTCCTCTATACTATGTCCTTTGTTTTTATATATTTCTCCATCTCCAGTGTAGTCATTCATGCTGAAGCTTCTGTTATGTCTTGCCTGAACTCTACCATAGCCTCTTGTGTATTCTCTCAACAATTTCATCTCTCCAATTCATTCTCCATACAACAGTCATGTGACATTTTAGAAATATCAATTCAGAACGTGTTGTATTCCTGCCAAAAAATGCTTGGTGGCGTGTTGCCATTGCTCTTAGCATAAAACCCCAGTTTCTTTTTTTTTTAATTTTTTTATGATTACTAATTTTTTTTTTTTTTTTTTGGTGAGGAAGATTGGCCCGGAGCTAACACCTGTTGCCAATCTTCCTCTTTTTGCTTGAGGAAGAGTGGCCCTGAGCTAACATCTATGCCCATCTTCCTCTATTTTTGTGTGTGGGTCACTGGCACAGCATGGCTTGATGAGTGGTGTCAGTCTGCACCTGGGATCTGAACCCGCAAACCCAGGCGGCTGAAGTAGCATGCTGAACTTAACCACTACATCACTGGGCCGGCCCCCCAATTTCTAACACAGTTTTTCTACGGGGTCTGTTTGTTCTCAATTCTACCTACCTTTCCAAACTATTTCTGTTTCACTCAAGCTTGGGATAGTCCAGGTACGTCAGTCTCTCTTATGTTTCTTGATCATGCCTAAGGTTTTTCTGCCTCTAGGTTTTTGCACTGGCCATTCCGTCTTCTTGGAATGTTCTTCTAGTTATTTGCATAACATTGCTCATTCTTATCCTATGATGTCAACTTAACTTTTTTTCTCTTGTAGATGACTACTGTTATCTAAGATTGGCCTACAAATACTCTACCACCTTCTCATACACCATTTTTCACATTCTGTAATTTTCTTATTTCTTTGCTTACCTGTTGATTCTCACTCTTTTGCTCTTTCTCTTTCTCTCTTGTTACTGGAATGACAGCTCCATGGAGCCAGAATATATTAGTCATACTAAAGTTTAATAAAAAATTAGTCACTTTAATATGACTAATTTTATATATATTAGATTATATATATATTATATATATATAATTTTAATATATTCTAATTCTGACATTTTAATATTCTATATATTCCCAAATACCAGCCCATTCGATGTTTATTGGATGAATGGATCCATCCTCTCCATCTTCTTTTGTTCTATTCCAATCACAGTGTGGTTCTATTTCTACTCCTGTCCCAATTTTGCAAGGTCCTATTTGGAAAGAAGTCCAAGTTATATTTATTCATTGTAGACTATACATCATTGTTTCTAAAGTAGCTATCTTTTCTTTTACTGCTTTATAATATTCTTTTTTTTCACAGAGCATAGGATACATATCCATAGGGTACATTTCTTTTAGACTGGGATCTTATAAGAGCTAGCTCAAACCATGGCATTTTTATACCTTTTTGCTCCCTAAAGTTATCATAGATTTTTTCATTGTTCTTTTTCCTAGAAGAAATATGGGAGATTGACCATATGCAGTGGCACCCAGAAAACCAAAACGAGATTAAAACTTTGGAAAGATGTCAGCAGAGTTATGCACTTGGAAATAATTTTGATGTATGCAAAACTCTTATTCCTTTAAAACAAAGGCACAATAAATTTGGCTCACATTGTAAAAGTTTGAAATCACATTTAGGTTTTGTAGTCCAGAATGGAAGATATGCAGGAAAGGATTCTGATGAGTTTAGTAGATATGGGAAATCATCTCTCTACATCCAGCATGATAAAACTCTTACTGAAATTAAATACCATGGGTGTGTTAAAGCCAGTAGCACTAAATCACAGCTCAATGACCATCAAAAAACTTATCCAGGAGAGAAACCACATGAATGCAATGAGTGTGGGAAAGCCTTCTCCAGGAAAGCACAGCTTGTTAGACATCAGAGAACTGAAAGAGGAGAGAAACCCCACGGTTGCAATGAATGTGGGAAAACATTCATGAGGAAGATTCAGCTCACCGAACATCAAAGAACTCACACAGGAGAGAAACCCCACGAATGTAATGAATGTGGAAAAGCCTTTTCCAGAAAGTCACAGCTTATGGTCCATCAGAGAACTCACACAGGAGAGAAACCCTATGGATGCAGTGAATGTGGAAAAGCCTTCAGCCGGAAGTGCCGGCTCAATAGACATCAGCGATCTCATACTGGAGAGAAACTTTATGGATGCAGTGTGTGTGGGAAAGCCTTTTCCCAGAAGGCATACCTCATTGCACATCAGAGACTTCACACAGGAGAGAAGCCTTATGAATGCAGTGAATGTGGAAGAACCTTCTTTTTTAAGTCAGACCTGACCAAGCATCAGAGAATTCATACAGGAGAGAAACCTTATGAATGCAGGGAGTGTGAAAAAGCCTTCAGAAGCAAATCGAAGCTCATTCAGCATCAGCGAACTCATACAGGAGAGAGACCATATGCGTGCAGTGAATGTGGTAAAGCCTTTGCCCACATGTCAGTCCTCATTAAACATAAGAAAACTCATTCAAGAGAGAAAGCTATAAACTCACTGAAGGTGGAGAAACCTTCCTCAGGGAGTCATGGCTCTTTATACATGAGTGAACTTGTAGGGGAGCAAAACTCTAAGAACACAGTGCCTGTGGAAATGTCTTCTTTGGGAACTCAGCCCTTATTAAACATCAGTGAGCTCCTAGGGGGTAGAAATGTAGTGATTGTGGAACAGCCTTTTCCAAGGAGTCAGACTTCAGTAGATAATCGGGATTTTGCACAGGGAATAAGCCTTGCAAATGCAGTGCATGTGACAACACCTTCAGTAATAAATTATGTCTTATATGTTACGGATATTGTGTAGGAAAAAAATCCTCTGAAACCAGAAATGCAGAAAAGCCTTTAGCAAGAATCCTCCATGCCTTTATGTTAGAGCTCACTTAGGACAGAAATGCTATGGATGCAGTGGTTGTGGAGAACACTTCTGTGAGAAGTTAGACTTACTAAATGTTAGTGAAAGCATATTGTGCAAAAATGCAGCTATTGTGGGGAAGCCTTTTCCTGGAGGTCATATCGTGGTCGGTATCAAAGAATTCCCACAGGACTAAAACCTCAGGAAAGAATGTGATGGTTTTCAGTGATAAATTATGCCCCACCACATGTCAGAGAAGCATGGAAGGACAACTCTAGAGACACCAAATGTGGAAAATATTTTTAGTAAAATGTGGAAGAACTCATAGAAAAGAGAAACCCATGAAAGCAATAAAAGATAGAAATTCTAACACCAGATTAACTCATGAATCACAATTTTATACCTTGGGAATCTGGGAAAGACTTCTTTAATAAATGAAACGTTCTTGACACCAGGAATTGCATCATGTAATGAAAACCTACGAATATAATGAATGTGGAAATACAGCTGTATTAGTTTCTTATGGCTGCTGTAACAAATTACCACAAATTTGGTGTCTCAAAACAATCCAAATTTATTATCTTACAGTTCTGGATGTCTAAAGTCTAAAATGCATCTCCCTGGGCTAAAAGCAAGGTGTTGGCAGGGCTGCATTTCTTTTTGGAGGCTCTAGGGGAGAATCTATTTCTTTGCTTTTCCAGCTTCTAGAAGCTGCCCCAAATTCCGTGGCTCGCAACCCCCTTCCATCCTCAAAGCAGCGATGGCGGGTCAACTCTTTCATCACTCTAACAGTGATTCTTCTGCCTCCCTCTTCCACATTTAAGGACCCTTGTGATTATATTGGGCCCACCTAGATAATCCAGGATAATCTCCCCACTTAACATCAGCTAATTAGCAACTTTAACTCTATTTGCTATTTGGAGTCCCCTTTGATTTATAATCCAACATATTCACATGTCCTAGAGATTAGGATGTGGACATCTTTAGGAGACGGTTATTCTGCCTACCACAGACCACCCTCTGGCACCCAATGATTCATGTCCATCCCACATACAAAAAGCATTTACCCTATCCCAACATCTCTAAATGTGTCAACCCGTTACAGTACCAACTCAAAGTCCAAAATCTCACTAAAATTTATCAGCTCAAAAGTGCCAAATTTCATCATATAAATCAAGTATTGATGAGGCTCTGGGTACAATCCATCCTGTGAACAATTCCAGAGGCACAATTCCTCTCTGTGAACCTTCTGTGAAGCTTTAAAACTCGAGAAACAATTTATATGGTCCTAAAATACTTAATTCCATCTTCTACCTTAATTCCTGTTTACCATGTAATGTAACATATTTCCAGGTTCTGGGGATTAGGACATAGACATCTTTGGGAGGCCATTATTCCACCTACCAAAAAACATTAGATTTCAGAGAATTTACACTGCAGTAAATTCTGACCTAGCCATCAAATAAATTTGAAAAAGCATGTTCCCAGAGAAATAATTATAGTAATTATGATCTAAGTACACTAACGTTTTTTTTCTATAATCAGTGAATCTTACACTGTGGTTGTTAGATATGAGTACCATGGAGTGCTCTTGTAATGTATAAATCAAATTATCAGCACTGGAAAAGAACTCTTAAATGTCCTAAAGGAACATGAAATCTATGCTGCTGAAAATGCTGCCACACATATGTTTGTATGTATTCTAAAATTGTATAAATTGACATATCTGCATATACCATAATGCACCTAAATACTGACCAATATTTTTCACAGCCAATTCCAAGAAAGTCTTTTTTCTTAACATTAAATGTTTCATGTGTATACTTCCCACCTTAAATAGCTAAAAAAAGTGGAATATATGGATGCACTGTTTTCAGACATTGGGTGAGAGGGAGCACAGGACAGCTATCTCTGAAAGAAAGGAAACAAATGAAGTGAGCCTTACAATTGCCCCAGCTTACTGCTGAGAGTGAGTTTCCATTCTGCAGCATAGGGAGGAGGAACCTAAAGAGATCCTAGCAGTCTCCCTGAATTGAGAAAAAGTTGAGAGTTTGGAGAATTCAGGGTGGCTCAGATTTGTGGGGCAGATTACAGGAGAGGAGAGACCTGCACCCAGAAAGAGTTACAGAGTTCTGTAGAGTTCCCCTACAAGTTTTTAAGTTGTAATCAGCACATATATGTGAGGAAGCTCCCTAGGCTGGAGAAAGAACCACTGGAAATGAACAGGCAGAACCATCCTTGGAGCTTGCCCAAGGTTGAGAATAATTTGTGTTTCCACCAGCTGGAATGGGAACAACTCCTTACTTTTGGAGAATCACAGTGGAAGTTCAGAAGAGTCTTGCCTCAGTGGGTGGCTTACATGGGATCTAGACTAAAGGCTGCTCTGAACCCTCCTAACAAAGTATAAACACAAGCCACTAAAGGACCAAACTGTTTCCAAGTAATTTAACTGCTTCCCAGAACAAAGCCCAATAGTATTTAAAGGATTAGAAAGCAATCCATCAACTGGTAATGAAAAATTCACAATGTCTGGCATCTAATCAAAACCTAGCAGGTATGCAAAGAAGCAGGAAAATAGGACCCATAAACATGAAGAAAAGTCAATAGAGACCTAGAAGTGGTGTGGGTGAGAGAATTAGTAGAAAATGATGTTAAAAGCAGCTATTATAAATATGCTATATGCTCAAGAAGGTTGTGTCAGGTAGATTATAAAATATAATTTACTGTGGGGTTCTCTCCGTGTGAGCAAAGGGGCAGACCAGGCCCAGTCTAGGCACTAGAGCCTCTGTCCCTAGGATGTTCAGCCTTCCAGGAAGGGGCCCAAAGGAGGCAGTTGTCATCAGCGAGGACCAGGTCCCATGAGGAGGACCAAGCCCAGCTGAATTTGGGGAGTGTAGTTTGGCCTGTGTCCAGTTCCTCTTTGCTTTTTTTTTATGAGATCAGGCACCTGTGGTGGGCTGCTGAGGTTTCTGGGAGGTACAGTTTGGGGTACATTGTCTTCCTGGTTAGGGGCTTGTGCATCTTGGCTGTTTGGCAGCCACAGGGGTTTCTGGGACACGCAATTCATTTGCCTTCAGTCATTTTTCTCCACAAGAGTGAATTCTACCTGAGTCTGAGTGGTGGTTGAAGAGGGTACCTGTCAGAACCCCGACCAAAGGCCACTGGGGCTTCTGTAAGCAGCATGAGAGGGAATTGTCCTTGTTTGGTTCAATTCCAAGCCCATCCAGTGGCTCAGCTGGGACCTGGTTGGATTTTGGTGGGTCTGTCCTGCTGTGTGCCCCAGGCAGGAAGTGGCTCCGGGGAACTCCATTGCATGGGATGCATTTGCTCTCATTCCTCTTGGTCTAGGGGCCAGATGGATCTGTGTTGGGGGCCTGGAGGGGAATTTGAATGTGTCCTGTGTGTCCTATGGGGTGTCTAGTCCAGGCCGCTTCTTCCCAGCCCTGTTACCATGAACAGAAAGCTTACAGTACAATGTCTGCCATGCAGTGCCTTGAGGACTAAGTGAGCAACTTTTAAATAGTATTATTGTTATGAATGGGAAGATGATTTAGGCAGAAAGAAATTTGATTTACACACTTTAGAACCTACAACGCTGGTGTACAGATGTACAGATTCCACCCACTTTGTCTTGATTTCCAGTCCAGAACTTGGGTCTCTAGATTCTAGAACTTGCCAGACCCCAGATAAATCAAGAGGCAGCCACCCCACCACAAGTTGCCTGGTACTGATCTTGTTCAGGGGTGCAGTTACTCCAGGTTCCCACTGGCTTTCTCTCTGTTTGTATCTGTTTAAGGGAGGATGGGGGGAGAAGACTAGGAATTCCTAGGTGGTATGTGGGCTGGTTAGTCTGATCTCCAAGGGCTCCTTTTTCCAACCACAGCCTTATACTTTTAAGAATCCATCCTTCATTGAAAGAGAAGAGTTGAGTAATTGTCCAAATTCTAAAAGCTAGGCCTCTCTCTGAACAGTGTCTCCTTTACTCTTGATCACAGATCTCCTGTCAGGTGTTCAGAACCAGAAAAAGACAATACCCTAAAAGTGCTGGCCATTTCCTAACAACAGAAGAAATTGACCAAGGCCCTGGTGGGTTTTTGTTTGTTTCTCCATTTTGCCTTTCATCCTCATGGATTTGCAGAGGCTTATAAAAATAACTATTGGGGGCCGGTCCCGTGGCCTAGTGGTTACGTTTGGTGTGCTCCGGTGGCCTCGGTTCGGTTCCCGGGTGTGGACCTACATCACTCGGTGGCCATGCTGTGGTGGCAACCCACATGCAAAATAGAGGAAGATTGGCACAGATGTTAGCTCAGGGCAAATCTTCCTCAAGCAAAAAAATTAAAAAACTATTAAATGGAAACATACACTTTCCTAAATTCAGAGTTTGAGAGAAAATAAACACTAAAATCAAGATTAGGGTGAAGTTACAATGGGGAAATGTAGGTCATAGGGTTCATATAAAGGAATACTAGTGAATAAATATGTAAGAATATATGATGTACTTAAGTTGAATTACAAATTGTTTCTAATGTTTCTGGTATCAATAATGTGTTAGTTTTCTGTTGGTGTCAAAAGAAACTTTTAGCAGCTTAAAACAATGCAAATTTATTATTTCACAGTTCTTTAAGTCAGAAGTCTGGGTTGGCTTGGCTGATTGCTCTATTTTTCATTAGACTGAAATCAAGGTATGGGCCAATGGGGCTCTTATGGGAAGGCTCTGTGAAGAATCTGCTTCTAAGCTTAAGCAGGTTGTTGGTAGAATCCATATCCTTGTGACTGTAAGCCTGAGATCCCTGTTTCTTCACTGGATGTCAGCTGGTGGTCGATCTTTGCTCCTAGGGGCTGCCTGCATTGGTTCTGATGCTTTCCAGGTGGACCCCCTCCAGCAATTGATTGAGTTCCTCTCATGCTTCAGATCTCTCCAACTTCCCTTTCTGACACATCTTGCTGACTGTCTCTTCCACCTTCCTCTTCTGCTTTTAACTGCTTATGTGATTACATTGGGCCCACCTAGATAATTCAGGTTAATCTCCCAATCTTGCAGTCAGGTGACTAGTGATCTTATTACATCTGCAAACTCCCTTCACAGCAGTACCTAAATTAATATTTGATTAAACAGTTAAGGGGCAGGAATCTTGAGGGGTGATCTTTAGAATTCTAATATAAATAATAACGTGAGAAACACTAGAAGTTATATGATAGATGTTGTTCATAACGAGAAATCAGGCCAACTCCTCAGAGGAAATAATTATTTGCCAGCACTTAAGTATATGAAGTGAATTAAGGATCAAAGTTTCTATTTTCCCACGTGGATATCCAGTTGTTCCAGCAACACTGGTTAAAATGGCTTTACCCAGTGGACTCACTTGTCATTTTGATCTAAAAATCAATTAAATGTATTAGTGTGAGTTTAGTCTTGGACACTCTTATCTCTTCCATTTACCTGTGTGTCTGCCTCTAC